TGGGGTTCAAATGGTTAACAGACAGGTTCACACATAAAATTGTGAAACAGTTTAATTGAGCTCTACATAATATGAAAAGTATACTGGATAATTTTTGTATTGTGATATTCACAAGGCTAACTTTAACATGTTATTTAGTAAATCACTGCTTGCATTTGATGTGAGCATCAACCTATTTTACTACATTATAACCTAGACACTAGTTTACAATTACACTGTACATTCTTATTTCCAATGTCCTGTTTTAATACAACAGCTCAGACTTCTCTCCTTTTTTATTTATTGGAAAGTGTTTTCCTTTAATAAATATCAAATGGAACAAATTATACACATTCTAAATTAACACAAAAAAGATGGGGGGAAAAAACTTATCAAAATTCAAGATTTCACAAGGAGTTAAAAAATAAACCAATAAACCAGCACAGTGTGTGAAATATGCAACCCTAATGGTTTAACTAAACACAATATACAAAATTTCAGCACATTTATGTACTCTATAATCATCTATGATAACATCCATCGGTGCAAATTACCTATTTAAAATGTCATACAAGCTGCTAATTAACCCGTGTTAATTTATGGCAACATATTTCTAAACATTTGTTTTTATAATCCTTTTTATTTTCACTCATTACTTAGAAAGGTTTTCTGAAAATAATGTAATTTAATACCAGGGAGTAGTTACTGATTTCATGCAAGAATATCCTGCATATTCAAAAAGATCACAGAAGGCTGGCTACTTAAATGAATATTATAAGATGTATTGCACTAATTAGCTCAGCAGTATATAAATACTCATGCATCAACATTTTCAATTTCAGCAACATTCTATATACCGCCTCCTGATTCTCCGTGCACGGCAGATAAGATTCAGTTCCGCCCATGGGAAGAGATGTGAAGCGATCTTCAGTAACGACGAGCTCTTCGTCCCTCCTTGCCGTGCTACAGGTGGAGAAAGGTTTTCAGTGCCTCGAAGGCTGCCTGTAACTCGAATGCATTTGAAGTGTGGGAAGGCCTATCTGTAACAGTCATATCATCAACTTCAGTAATTAAACATAAAAAACAACTGCTAGGAAAAGTAGAAATAAGAAATAAATAACATTCCTGTATTCATTGTATACACATAGTACAGAATGTCCCCAGTTGCCATGATTTCAAGCAAGAGACTTGTCAGTTTCTAAAAAAGGATAGCTTGCTGCAGAAAAAAGGGAAAATTATTTTTTATTAACATCCCACATTAGGATAGGAGGGAAGTAAATCATATATCATATCATAAATCATATAAAGAGATTTAAAATATATAATGAATTTCTAGCTGACATAAATTTAATTGGCGTTGCATTCAATGTATGCAAAAGTATATATACAACAGTATGAGGGTCTGTGTCAATGGCATCAGTTAGACTTCAGTTTTAGATGGTTTTGAGATAATTTGGAATTTATTGATAGGTGCATTTGACCTGCCTTTGATCTTCATCAAGCTAGTTTTGTATACCCATGTACTTTTATGGGAAACTTATGTGACCCATACACAGGCCCTTACAGTGCCAATAATTCCTTAGAATCAAATTACTTTCAGCACTGAGAAGTAGTTCAAGGCTTTTCTGGTCATATAAATTGTGCAGAGGGTGGCTGTCGATTGGCACATGAAATATATTTTCAGGTGCATTTAGGTGCATTCGGCTTGCAAATGAGATCAGTTTAAGATACGTCTGAACTTTTTTTGCAAGTGGATCCTACCACGTTGACCTGCCGTTGACTTCCTTCTTAGCTACATTAACATGCTTCAAGCTGCTTTAGTAATCATCCTCTGGTGTTTTGAGAAGCACATCTCAAATATCAATTTGCACACACCCTTGATGGTTTATCTAAAGTTGCTGTTGCTTTCATTTCAATTGTGACTTATAATAGGGGAACTACAGCTGTGGAGTAATGTTCATTCATTCTAGAAGCCCCAAAAAAATGTAAATGCTATTTTTGGAGACTCAACGCTTCCCATGATTTGCAATCTAACAATATTTTCCCTTTGATTTAGCCTTGATGCATGCCTTGGTATTTGGTAATGTGACAGCTATAATCCAACGAATGTACTCCAGATGGTCCCTTTATCATACAAGAACCAAGGATCTGAAGGATTTTATACGGGTACACCACCTTCCACAGCAACTGAAGCAGAGAATGCTAGAATATTTCCAAACCAACTGGTCAGTCAATAATGGGATAGATTCTCATGAGGTAATGTGCACTTTATATTCCACTTTAGCATTATTGGAACAGTTTTTGAGAACATTTTAACCTCTTAGTGACACAGCTTTAGAAAATCTTTTAGTTCTTGGGCACCGGAGCAGTTTTGCCATTCTTGCTATGTGTTTGTTAAACCCTAATTTCCATCTTCCTCATTTATTACATATATTATATACTGTTTTTTAAAGTACAAAATGGGCTTTAAATTGATGTGACATATGCATAAATAAATTCTTATAAAATTAATAATAAAAGCCGCGCTGTGTGAATTAATCTACAAAGTGTTAGATATAGTAGATAATGGCTGGGAAATAATGTGATACAATGTGTAAAGAGTAACAATAGAAAAAAACGCACGTGTATAACATGCACCTCAGTGTAAATACATTACTACAAAATATCCATAATGAAAAATCTAATATTCCAGCTGTTACTCTTTTCACATTGCATCACATTGTTTAACAGCTAGTATCTATTTTATTCGATTTTTCATTATGGATATTTTGTAGTAATGTATTTACACTGAGGTGCATGTTATACACATGTTATAAAGCGCATTGTTTACCCATATCTTCAGAAAAAAAATCACTTCTACTGAGGGCCTATCTGTAACAGTCATATCATCAAATTCAGTAATTAAACACTAAAAACAACTGCATCCCATTGTTTAACAGCTAGTATCTATTTTATTTGATTTTTCATTATGGATATTTTGTAGTAATGTATTTACACTGAGGTGCATGTTATACACATGCGTTTTTTTTCTATTGTTAGTCTTTACACATTGTATCACATTATTTCATGGCCATTATCTACTGCATTCACACAGCGCGGCTTTTATTATTAATTTTATGGTATATATCTGACCACACAGATTTCAGCTGCTGCTTAACTCGATTGGAGTAGTGGCACAAGGTTTCACATTATACATATATAATTCTTATTTATTTATTTATTTTAAAAATACAGAAAATGCAAAACAAATAGAAAAAAAAACAACATTTTCACAGTTTTTGACAATAATAATGTGTACATATATAGTGTAGGTAACAGAAAGTCATTCAGAATAAATTATTTTATTTGTCCTTATTCATAGGGTATATCATATGTCTGGGTTTTGTTTATTTTGGGAGTTATAGGTCACAAAATACAAGGAGTGAAATACAATTTTTGTGTAGAACAGTTGTAATATGTGGTATGTTTGTCTCCTAACTTTTATAGCCTCCTCTGCAATATATTATCTTATCACTTTGTTATAAAACTCATTTTTTTAACTTGTTTCCTTCTTTCTTTTTAAAACTTTTTAAAATTGTTAAAAACTTTTTTAAACTAGGGGGCACTAAAGTGCAAATTTTTTTCTCACAGGGGCTTTGGATACTTAAGGGTCTAATCACTAAGCTGCCGAAGGATCTAGCCGTAGCTTCGGCTGATCCTTCAGCTAGCTTCGGTCCCAGGATCCCTTCGGTTCAGTAGAACCGAAGGGCTGCTGTATGGGCTATTCACTATAGCCCGTACAGCTCCCGAAGTCGGCCGAGTGGCTCAGTCAAGCCGAAGGCATATGCCTCGGCTCGACCGAGCCAAGGTGAAAGCCGGAGCTGGCCGAGCGGGCAGAGCCAGCCGTCATCTCACGGCTGGCTCTGGCCACTTTCAGAGAGAAAGTTACCAGCTAACCAGGGACGCTGTCATTACACACTGAGAGCGGCCTCTTCGTGTTCTCAGTGTGTAATGACAGATGTCGTTTGCTATTGGCTATTGCTAAGTGAAATAGCCAATAGGAATCTAGCTATGCATTCCTATGGTGTGTTCATTTTTTTTTTTAAATTGTGACGGCAGCAGAACCGCCCGGCCAATAGAAAACAGTTGGGCGGAACTAGCTGTCACTGCTAGCTCCGCACAATGGTTTTCTAATCTTTTTTTTCTACTTTTTTCACAGTTTTGCGGCATTTGGCTATTTACTCACTGCTGTTCGGCATCTATGAGAATAGACTGAACAGCAGCGAGTAGCCTGCCGGAGGTTCGGCTTAGCCGATCCAGATGTTGGATCGGCTGAGTCGAACTCCTTCTGCACACCGACCCGAAGCCACACGATGCACGGCTGATTCCAGCCATACCAGCCTGAAGTGAGTAGCCGAACAGAGTTCAGCTCACTTCGCTTGGGGTCGGTTAGTCACTCGGCTGCCTATGGCAGTTTAGTGAATAGACCCCTTAGTATTCTTAGGAGACACTGTATTCTCCACAAAGATACTTTGTATCACTTTGTAGTACACTGATCTGGCTTGCAGCTCCTCAACACAGTGATCTGCAAGCTGGATCAGTGGCTGTAACAGCACTGTAATCACTGCAGTTTGCTGTTGAGGGTCTGCATCGGACACCAAGGAACCCAACAACAGCACAAACCCGATAAGCGCTGTTCCCGCCATGGACCAGCACTCATTTTCCCACATGACAAAATTATTCCATCACCAGTCTTTAAGTATTTAAAAGATTTTGATAGAATGATTCCATCAGAACACTGGCAGAAACCATAAATAGCAGAGCAAGATAGAGCAATAAAAATGCCATCTAATAATTCCATGTATTTATCCATAACCATTCTTCATCTTCAAAAACACCTATCATTTAGAGTGAAAAAAATGGGGCCAGCACCAGGGAACATTAGTGGGACATATAGTATAGCGGTGAGGTATTCTTACACCTGATTAAGCAGATTACTGCTTTTAGTGAAAAAAATACTTTGGGATGTTTATTTTAAAAATACCTTTGTAATATGTGGGCTTTATGGAGATTACATAATAAAGCTAAGAATGATGTGCAAATAATAGAAACCCACTTATTCTGTGGCCTTGCTATGGAAAACTGATATCTGATTAGTTGTTGTGACAGTATCATTGCTTCTTGCAATGTAAGCAGAAGAAGCTGATATGATAAGCAACTTCAATCTCCAATAGTAAGTAGGGGGGATAGGAGAGGGACGGGGTGGTCCAAATTCTTGAATAAGAAGGCAGGTTGATTTTTGCAAGGTAGAGTATACCCAGGATTTGGGGTAACCATGCACTTGCTAGCTAAGGTGAGGTAATATACAAGGAGCATGACATGCTGAATATGTGTTAGCAATGGCAGTTAACCATAGATTAAATTTTACTATATTAAGATGTATTCATTTGTAAAAATATTTCTACTGGGTTTGGCTGTATAACGTTTTTATATCTACATTATTACATCATTTAACAAACCTAACTTTGCAGAAGCATGGAAATGACTTTGTGCAATTATGACCCTTTAAAACAGTATATTTTCCTGCATGCTACCCAATGTTGCTAAAGTGTCAGTATCCTCTTTATATTACTATTTTCAGTGAAATTTTTAGCAATTCTGATTTTCATGACTTGTCTGCATTCCAGAAATCAATTTTCAGTTTCTTTTCAACAGTAGCTGCAGGATTATTTATTTTTAAACGATGACACAAGTTTTCAAGTTAGAAATCCGTAGGAGAGATTTGTTACATCTCTAAATGGTTGAAAGCTTCATATCGCGCTAAACCCAAAATGATACATTTTTCTAAGCTGCATTAATTCTATCTCTGAATTTGACAGCTCCTGAAAGAATTTCCAGATGAGCTACGTTCGGATATAACCATGTACTTGAACAAGGAGATTCTACAACTATCCCTTTTTGAGAATGCTAGCCGCGGTTGCCTCAGGTCTCTGTCTCTGCATATCAAAACTTCTTTCTGTGCTCCTGGAGAGTACCTACTTCGGCAGGGAGATGCATTGCAGGCAATTTATTTGGTGTGCTCAGGTTCCATGGAAGTGCTGAAGGATGGGATGGTGTTAGCTATTTTAGGTATGTACTATAATACATGATTCAGTATGATGCACATGCAATATAGTGAAACCTAATGTAAAATGACCAATAACATCACACCTTTTGACTTTACTCTAACTTTCTAATCTGTATACCTGTATTATCACCCTGAGCTAGAAAGTATTGAAGTCAGGGATGCCTGTTAATTCCTAGTCAGCAGTAGAAGCCCAATTTTACTACAAGTAGGTATAGAAAATATTAGTTCCAAAAAGGGCAATTACATTCTACCCAAGTCTTGAGTCTGAGGGCACAAGAGAAACTATTACAAACCCTTTGATATATATTTGTAAACGTTTCTAATTTAACAGACATTTTACTAAAGGCAAATAGGCTGTTCACTTTGAAAGGGAATTTTCCCTTTAGGCTCAGTGAATGAAGTAAAGCTCCGATCATTTCCATCATCCTTTCATATTCAAACATAAATGCATTTTATTATTTTTCTAGCTTGTGATTGTTTTGTTTTTTTTTGCAAAGTTAGATTTCACCTCAATCCCCAAACTAAGTGAAAAATTACCTTGTAAAGTGAACTGTATATTTGCCTTTAGTAAGTCAGCTCCATTGATTTAGATTTGTAATAACTAATGTATCATTAAATGCTTAACGTAAGCACTGTTAGTGCCCAAATAATGACTTTGTTTAAGCATCCTGCAATATACAGTACAGTCAGTACAGCAGATCTCAGAGAGGGAAAGAGGGAGGCTGCAAAAGTCAGTCATATTTGCTCATTATATCTGATGAAAGAAGGTGAAACAGTATTTCTAAAATATAATAATATGGTAGCAGTGTACAATTAACAATATGGTAGTGATGTACAATAGCAAACCAAATGTCATTCAGTTAGGGAATCCATCTACTTTTACAGTATAGGCCTAGCGTTTCTTTATTAATTTTAATTACAAAACTACATTAGTCTGGAAGCCAAAGAACATTTACCGATATACCAAACATTACTTTAAATTGTGTGACAATGTTAAATATTTAGGAAAGATGCCCTCTCCCCAACTCTCACAAGCAAAGTGTTCAGGAAATTCTTGTCTTTAATTGTTATTAAATTCCTTGATATTTAGAACAACAGACTGATTTAAAAAAATATCTATTCATTTTTAAACAATAAATTAGACAATGAGTTAATCTTCAGCTATATTTATAGTTATATTTGAATCCATAAATATATAAAACCTATGTCAATGTATAATGATATATACAGTGCACCTTTTTTTTGCTAAAATTCCCATAATTTCCTTTTATACACTATTTGTAAACTCCTAATAAATATAGTGGTAATACACAGCTACATTTAACAGTTCTGCCAGTTGTCTGCAATATTATATAGTATACATACAGTATGATGTAATAGTTAATTCCATTGATATTTGTTGTTAACAAGCTAAAGGAACATTGGACTATGTAACTCTGCTCTTATTAAAAACATGATTTCTCAGTTCCTAAGAGTTTAGGCTTATATTATTGGGTCTCTCTATTGCTTTAACCCCTTCGTGACTGACGACGTACAGTGTACGTCGCCAGCATCGGGGCTGTTTAAACAGACTCCCGGTGACTTTTGCCGCCGGGACTCTGTTTAAACTTGTAGAGCCGACTGTCGGCTTTACAACAGAAGCGATCCTGGCGACTTACCTGTCGCCAGATCGCTTCTGCGTCCCGAAAATTTGCAACTACCACCATTTTATTCTATAGGGTCTTGGCATTCAGAAAATATATCTTGGGGGGTTTTAAGTAATTTTCAGGCCTAAAATTTGGAATATAACATGGGTACAAAAAATGAAAAAAAGGCCTCAGTCATGAAGGGGTTAAATGATAAAACTGCATTAAACATTTCTCACATTATGGCGTGTGTGGAATATTATATTATTGTCCTAAACCTAAATGTACATGATTAGTTTGGAAGTGCAGTGTCTGTAATGAAAAAGGAAAATTCTATACAGTATTTAAAGCAAACCAATCATTGTCATTTCTCAAATGACCAGTTCTTGAGCTAGAGACAAGGTATGATAGTATAATGCTGCATAATTTTGTGATGATTGTATGCTCCTTATGGAGCTGACAGCTGCTCATTAGGTCTTCAGCTATAGAGATACAGCTATTTTTACATGAATCATAATCAGTACAATATGGGAATGTCTTAGCAGTGAAATGTAGAATTAATGGGAATTAGGAAAGTGAAAAATATGATATCTGATATTATATTTTTCAAGAATTATTTCCTTTTTTAAACAATCTGGGATGGCTAAGTTAATACCCTGTTTCCCCGAAAATAAGACCTACCCCGAAAGTAAGACCTAGCACCATTTTTCAAGATTCCTGTAATATAAGACCTACCCCGAAAATAAGACCTAACCTTGTTTGGTGGTAGCATGTGAGGGGGAACTTGCAGGAGAGATGGTATCAGCCTGCAGGGACATACTGTATTAAGGGGATGACAGGGGACTCCCTCCGGCCAGCGGTATATTATATGAAAATATTGTTCAGTGCAAAAACATTGTTTAATAGCACATAGAAGTGTACTAAAGGAAAGTTTTTATGCTTGTTTGCCTTCAATTGATATGCTTTTACACGTGTTTACATTAGTTAATACTAGCTCACTTCATTTGCTCATGTGAGTTTACGTATGTTTACATCAGTTTACGCCAATCTTCAGTAAACATTTTGTATTTTGCTTTGGAAAGAGTAGGGAGGAGGAAGCATTAAAGCCTCTGTAATGTTTTTATTGTTGTCAGGATCCCTGCTGGGGAGATTTTCCCACACTTCTCATTAGAGCAGGAAGTGATTGGAAACTCCTCCAACTGGGATGCAGACAAAAACAAAAATAGATTTTTAGAAAAGTAAGGAAGGGATTGAACTACATTGTACTATAATTAAGTATTTATATAATGGGGCTTGACTGTGTTATTTTTTTCACAGAAACCACCTATAACACAACCATGAAATAAATTCATATGTGCTTTATTTCTACTGTACAAACACTTCAAACCTTTTACAATTTATAAAAACAAATACATTGATCCATTTGTCTATTTCAACCACAAATATACAGTATATTGCCTCTATATTTTAAAGTCCAAGTGTAAGTGGTTTAAGACACAGAACTTTACGTCCCCACTCATTAATGTTGCATCAGACCAGAAAAGATAAATTTCTTTTAATAGGATGTCTTCCCATTAACAAAAAAACACATTGAGCAGCACAGATCCATATTTCTTGGTTTTCTTGGCAAAACAGTAAGATTGCATTAGTAGTAGTAGTAGTAGTAGTAGTAGTAGTAGTAGTAGTAGTAAAAACCTACATACAATTTCATACTCTATTTTGAATCCCTCTTATCCCTTTGTTATAAAATACCTTAATTTCACTTGGTTTTACTATTTCTGTTTTCTTCGAAGATCAGGTAATATAAGACTGGGAGGGAACTTTTGTTATTGTCTAGTTTGCTTGCCTAAGACACAAATAAATAAATATATATCTCCATGTCCACATTGTTTACCCCATCCTTCCAATCCCCCCCTTAAAAAATATATATATAGCAATGTTCCTCTCCAGGTGAAAATTACACAACCCGTTTTGCCCACTATCTTTCCTTCTCCCTGCCCCCCAATAATCACTCTCCTCCCACAACACCCTGCTGCTTACTCTTCTTCTTACTTTGTTTTTTTCTTACTTACTCCTCAGCTCAGTCAAGCCCTTTATTAAGCCCTCAGTCAAGTCCTGTTAGTTTCAAAACCATCAATTTCATAGCTGATTTCACTTGGAAGTTGAATGCATAGGACTCTCTAATCTGCACTTATACTGCATTAACCCAAATTTTTTGGTTGAATAATATACAGTTTCTTCTCAATATGCCATATATTATGCTATACTATGTTGCATGTCACAAAATCTTTATTTAACATGTGTACGTGTATCTGTATTATACATTAATCAGCAAAAAACCTTTGTACAAAACCACACCCTCACTTCTAGTATGGGCACCACACGAGTGAGAAAAGCATGCAACAAACGCTACTTCAGTTGGCCAGACTTGATAGGCAGCCTAACTGCCAACTAAAGGAATATGCAAGTTGACATATTTGGTGCTAATTGTGAGGCAATGACTTAGCGTTGTAACCCTGAAACAGGATGAGCTGTTACTGGCAGGATCTTCAGGTAACAAACTTTGCAGCAAATTCACAAAACTATTTGCTTAAGAAAAGTGTATACAAAGAGACACGACATAAAAACATGAAATGACATCAAACTTACAAAAAAAAGGATTCAGTTTGCATACACTTTAGTGCATGCTTATTTGTGTGAACTGCACATTAGGAAAAACATGTACTGAGAGAAGTACTGAAGTTGATGTTGCAGAAAAAAGACTTTGAGACACTGATCTGAGAACAAGCAGGCAGGTGAGGACTTTAATGGCAGCATCTGTATAACCTGTATTAAAGATTTCCTTGCAATTAATTACTGCTAGTATGAATGAGGTCTTGCAGTCAAAGAAGAAAGAAAGCCATAGTTAGAAATTGGATATTTCAGTAACTTATAAATATTCAATGTGCATACAGAAAACCTAAAAAAAACAAAACTAAAAGCTCACCCTCCCGCCTATTGTCCTTACAACAAAATGACTCTACAGGGTACCTAATGTCCAAACATTATTGATAAAAATGAGCAAATTTCATGAATCTGCTCCAACTCTAATAAGCACAGTTACAAACCTGGGTAAATCAGAGCAAACCTGTGCCCAATTATTACAAATAATTCCAATAAATACTGCTCATATTGGCCAGCCTTTGGTTGCAGATATCCCTACTAAAAGCATATAAAATTAGGATTTTAGCACCAATGTAAAATTATAAGAACGCATTTCCTTTGGGAATGACAGGATATAGCAGCCTCAAGAAACGGAAGCCTAATGAGAATCTTTGTGAATACTGTAGTGCTGTAATCCAGACTGTGGCTAAAGGTAGCCATAAATGTTGTTTCTGATATGAATGATTCTGGCTGCTTCTAAGAAAATGCAGCCATAATTACACCTCTGAAGATATGAAGAGATTGTTTGATACTTATATCCAGGCTGAACAACAATGATCTAAATGCAAGAACCATGTACACTACTACTTGAATTTTGGTGTTGTGTATTTCTTCCAGATCTCTGAAATAGAAACTTCTGCAGGTTTCCTCTATGCAGGAATTTACTTTAATAAAGGCCAGCTATTGTTGCAGTCTCTCCTTGTGCATGGTGACTGGTCATGTAAGCTCCCCCCTGGAAGCAGCCTGTAGTATGCAGACATGCTGTGACCCACCCATGGTTTTGCTGTCTGGTCAGGTTATATGCAGCACAGTGATAGTATAATTTCTACATTTACATGGTAATATCACATTATATGCACACAAAGTGGGTTTATTTCCTTTGTGGCTATTGATTAGTTTATTTTGATGAAAGATTTGGTGTCTGGAGTTCAGTTTTTAAGTATACCAATCTTGGCAACACATTAATCGTATAGGTTGGATTCTGTTTGCTAATTAATATTTTTTTCCCCTGTGTCCACTCTGGCCTACAACCAAATAATTGCATCCCATATTTTGTGCATATTAGATTAAAAAAGTGAAATATTTTGCAAATAAAAGAAACAATACAAAAATACTATATATACATAAATATATGTACATATATATATATATATATATATATATATATATATATATAAAAAAAAAACACACTAGGTCTTATTTTCAGGGTAGGTCTTATTTTTTTTTTAAGGTACAACAATCCAAAATTAATGCAAATCCAAATTAAATAATCCAAAATGGAAAAGTCAAGAATATGGTGATCAGGGCAATCAGGGGTGACGTCCCTTTCCAAGAGCAATTTGTTAACCAATCGCTGGCCAGAATGAGCGAAGCGCGCTTTCACTATCGATTCCTCACAGGCGGATTGCATTTGGTATCACTCCGCCTGTGACAGGAGGCGGCACTATGGAGGAAGCATCGGCTCTGCTCCCTCCGCTGCCGCCTAGCTTCCTCTAGCACTGGCTTCGTTGGCATCACCGATTCTCTCCTGCAGCTCTTCAAGTTCCCCCTTATGCCACCACCGGCCCTGGGAAAGGTCACAACTAGGTCTTATTTTTGGGGTAGGTCTTATATTTTAGCAATTCCAAAAAATAGTACTAGGTCTTATTATCGGGGTAGGTCTTATTTTCAGGGAAACAGGGTATATACACTGAGTATAAACTGGCCACTCAGTGTATATATATATATATATATATATTATTATGACCACCTGAGTGGCCAGTTTATTATGACCACCTGACATTTGTATATTATTTGCATATAATTATATGATTTGAAATGAAATCTAAAGACAAAAGTGTAGAAAATTTGAATTCAGCTTGCTTAATTCACTGCTGGAGGTTAATTGATTTGCATTAGAAAGACTAAGCAGTTCATCCTTCATTTGCCATGCAGTTTGTAATTTTTGCAACTAAGCACTGTATGTAACACAGGAATCTTAGGAATAGTTTAGCTTTTCTAAATTGCTTCTTAATTGTATTTTTATCATAGTAATTACAGATCAATAATGGTGTATTCCATTGGGAATATTCAGATTGAGCGCTGAGAGCTTGTGGCCCAGGACCTTACACACACAGCAAATTAAGTTAAACTGAACCTGTGGGGAGAAAAAAACACACTAAGCTAGGAGGCTCATTTATGACAGAGAGCAGCTATCACTATCCACTCTCCATTATACTCTGCATACCACCGTTTTACAGCATTAATTAAATACAGACCACGGTACGCATCCTGCAGTTTCCTAGAAATCTTTCTGTATATAGAGAACTCTGCCATTAGAGGGGAGTCTGGTATGTGACTTTGATAGGTCTCTTGGCTAGTGTCTTCTCATGGCATTTTATTTAACAGCTCCCAATTCATTATTATTATTATGCTCCGTCAACTTTGGACTCTGGTGCCAGTGGGGCACAATGCACATTTGTAAGGCACATAGCGGTACTTGATAAATATGCAGAGGCTTTTCTTTTGTTTAAGCAGTGATATAGTAAGTGTACGGCCACACCACTGCTTTTAAAATAGACCACTAACAGTAGGTATAGAGAGAAGATAACATAAACTGTTAGTACATATAACTTACCTTACCATTAACTCAAAGCAAATGTAACTACAGTAGGTGGAAGGCACCCCAAGCAGTGCTGCAGGTCTGTAAATGCTGTTAACCCTCTGGTATGCCCTCCTTCCAGGCTGAACTAGGATGACAAAATGCACAACAAAATACTATACATTATAGCATACCACACCGGTCACAAGCAGTTTGTGATGCACACAATGACTACAACAGCAACAGCTTCAGAAAAAAAAGTTTAAAAAAAACTACAACTAAGGAGAAAAGTGTTATTTTAGGGTTATATATGAAGACAAGGTTTGGGAAAAGTACATGTTTTGTATTTTTTGTACATGGTCAACCAGTATTGTATAATTTTTGGCAGAAATTGTCATTATGAGATGTAGGGCTTGATCTTCTCTATACTTCTGTTGCCTTTTGTTATTGTAATAAGATACCCATGTTTTTCTACAAAATGCGTAGTAATTTTCTATTTGTCTCTTATTTGTGCAGTATCTTATGAGCTCCAAACACTGTGGCCTGTGGCTACTGGACGTGAACCAGTACCCATACTAGGCAAAATAACAGGTTTGCTGTAGAGGAGGGGCCCTAAGCAGTCAGTCCTTTTTTTCTAAGCAAGTTAGAACTATCCAAAGTGCCCATGGGACAGTGCTCAAGTCTGCTGATTGGTGAATCAGGCACTGAACACTGCATTGTGGAAAGTTATGTATGTGTTCCCCTTTTCACGAATTACCGGGGTGACAGAAATGCACAGAAAAAGAAAATACTGACTGTGTTTGGTCCCTCCACTAAAGTGACTTTGTTATTTGCCTGCCTAGTATGGACTAAATACAGGAAAAATAATTACAAATATTTATATATATTGCATATATTCGATACAGTTTTTCAGGTCTAGTCATTACAGTTTGAATGTATTTTTGTTAACATGGCTTTTAATCGTTACAGGTAAAGGAGATTTAATTGGAGCAACTTTATCAATTAAAGATCAAGTAATAAAAACCAACGCAGATGTGAAAGCTCTGACCTACTGTGATCTACAGTGTATCATTCTAAAAGGCCTCTATGAAGTTCTGGACTTCTATCCAGAATATGCACATAAATTTGTAGAAGACATTCGGCAAGATCTTACATATAATCTTCGGGAGGGTCATGAAAGTGACGTAAGTACATATGTTTGTGACCATAAGCTCTAAACACACACAAAAGCATGTGCACGCACACACACACACATATTCTGAATAGCTTGATTATTTGCTACATCATTTATAGCTTTGATTCTAACTTTTTGTAATATTTTACAAGTTAAAATGTTTTTATATATATATATGTTTATATATATATATATATATATATATATATACAT